GATCTGACCGATCCAAAGAATGGACCAGCAAACAGTCAAGAAAAGTCAAGGAGTAGGATTATGAGCAAGGATTTAACTTGATTCAGTTTTTAGATGCAATTGTTTTGCTAAGAGAAAATAATATGAATTAACATTGAAAATTCCAACCTTCTAATATCTTATATTGTAATGGAAATTTCTGGGTATTTCTTTTAAAAATCATATGATTATTATTTTGATTACGTGTGTCAGGTATTTATAGTAAATTTTCAAACAAACACACCAAATCAGTGAAAATTCCACTTAAAAATTTGTAATTCCTGCAAAGTTGACATTTGCCGAGTCGATTGTACCTTCACACACACAAGAATTCATACATACATCCATACATATGTACTTATGTGGTACATATTGTGTTTACATAATGATTAGACAAGAGCCCAAAGCCAAGCCCTGTTTATGGAGTGTTTCCATATGCAAATAGGGCTCTTCTTTTATGGCGAATGGAAATTGTGGAAGTGTTTGATGGACAAATAAAAGTACGTGCATAGTTCATGTAGTTCTCCATCTTCTTCTACGGGAGGGGGAATGGGAGGTAGAGGAAGTTGTCGACTCAAAATAAATACCAACGAAACAATAAAAGCAGAAAGAAATACTCCACAAATAATGCTTTGCCGACGGCATAAGTGATCTGTAAAGGTGCGCACAGCACAGCACACAAGAAATCGGAGAGAGCGAGAGAGCATGCGCCGAGCCTGCAAGCGAACAGATCATGCGCAGCCAGCAGTTGGGGGATAGACAGGGAGAGAGAGAGAGAAACACAGAGAGAGAGGCAGGCATAGGTTGCAGCGCAGAGAGCAAGCAATAGCTGACATGAGAGCGGGAGAACGGGACCGACCGACCGACCACCTGTCCGAAGACAGACAAAGCGAAAAGCGAACAAGCCAGGAAAAGGGAGCCCCGAAGAACATACAAACGAAAAGGAAATACGAAAACAGCATAAAGGAATGAGGAAAATAAAAAGGTGGTTGAAGCAGCACAATGTAGGGGAAATAAGAGGAATGAGCGAAATATGAGGAAATATTTATATTTAAAGTGATTTCCGAAATAAAAGGAATTCGTTATTTTGTCCCTTAACAATATGCTCCAACTAGCTAGCAGAAATGTTGTCTAACCGTTCCCTCTTTTCCGTCCACTTCTTTATCATCGTTCGCACCCCACTTACCCGTTCCTTGGACGCTGCTGGGCAAATTTGCAAACGCCAGCATCAGAGTCAGCGTCAGCAGCGGCAGAGCGAACATTTTGTTAATCCAAGTGAATGCGCGACTGCGCTGTCTGCTGCGCTGCAAATGCATTGTAATCCAGTTTTTCAGTATTAGTATTCCTTCCAGTTGCCGTTTCTTAGCTTTGCCCGATTCTTTTTGTATTTGTATATGTGTGTTTGCTGTATATTTTGTTGCAGTTCGTTTTGATTGCTTATTATGTTGTTGCACTTTATTTATTGTTGTTTTTTTCTTTCAAATCTCGTTAGTTAATGTTGCACCTTTTCCCCCGTCTCTCCTTCCCCTCTTTCTATGTATTTAAGAGCCAGGCGGGCAGAACATTTGAAAAGAGTCGCGCTCCCGACAACGCCGACGCTTGCAGAGACGTCAACGACGACAACAGCGACGGCAACATTTCCACGCAAAAAAAATATTAACAAAAAATAACCAAGAATAGTGGGCAAATATGTTTGCAGCAGGGAAACGAAATTCAAATTCTTCAACGGACACGAGGACGCTCCTTTCCGCGCTCTCTCCCGACGATTACACGCACGCACACACACAGACAGAGAGAGAGAGAGAGACGCACACACCGATACACGCACACACTCGCGAATAATTTGCTGTTTTTCCTTTGGGTTTTCCTTTCGGCTTTTTCCTTGTGGTTTGATATTATTTTTTGGAAGGAAATCACCGTATGGGCTAGGGCCTGATCGGTCCTGCCATATTGTTGTTTGTTACTGCTGCTTTTGGGACACTCTAAACTCTCCACTATAGCTTTGTATGTTTGTTGTTGTCGTTTCTTTTGCACTCCTTCTTTTGAACAAACATGCACTAGCGCCTCCCCTTTCTTCTCGTTTGATGTCACCCAAAAAAATTTCAACTGCAGACAATATCAAGAATAATATTTTGTGTGTGTGCTTTGTCCGCCTCGACAACCCGTTTCGATCAAATTTAAAAAATCTTTGTCCGATCTCGTCAGTGTGACGGCGGAATTATCGATAAGATATATCGTAAAAATACCAAAATATACCATTGCATCTTCAAAATATACCGTAAATATACCATAGTCTTAAATCAGATTCCTCGATTTTGATGTTCTATTTAATTTTACTAGCTATTTAGGAGTTTCCGGGGTAAAAATATAATTTTGTCCAATTTATCAATCAATTCTTCACAAGAGTGGTTAGTTTTCACGATTTACTTTTCTTGGAATGTTTCCAAATTTAAAAAATCTTTGTCCGATCTCGTCAGTGTGACGGCAAAATGATCGATTAAATATACCGTGAGGTGCTTGAAAATATACCTAAATATACTTTTTCATTTTCAAAATATATCGATTTTTATATATAATACAAATACATTTATATCGTGATATTTTCGTGGACAAAATATCAATGTATTCCTATGTTTTTGCGATATTTTTTGATATTTTAAGTTCGGCAACTAACCACAGGATCTTAATAAATATAAAGGGTATTTTGTATTTTTTTACAAAAGTGGATGTATGTAACGCACATAATTAAATGATTCCGACGATATAAAGAGCCCAAATAGCCATGTCTGTCTGTCCGTCTGGCAGTCTTGTTTGTCGGCTAGTACTCAGAGACTATAAAAGCTAGAGCCAACAAGTTAGTGAACAAGAGTGATACAAGTGTATGTATGTCTCACACGTCCCTATTCGTTCGAAACTGGGGTTTTCTCGACTTTCTCGAAAGTGCAATTTATGCAGCAGTGGTGGTTTTTGTGAGGTGTAAGATGTACGAGAAAGAAATATGATCTGTATGATTTTCGTACTGTGAAAAGTCTGTGGGTGTTTGAACCAAAAACCATAAACACTTATTCAAACGAATTATGTACATAAAGCGAAGAATAGTTGAATAAGTCAAATTAAAAACACAGAAAAGTGGAATATGGATTGGTTTGAAGGGTTTCTGTTTTCTTAATGGGAGTTATTTATTTCCGATGTGCAAGGAATTGAATTTATATATCAAATATATCGATATTTTTGCAGTGATATATTTTATATTATTTGTATATATCTTTCAAGCAAAACATATCACCGATATGATATTTTTTAAATATTTGTCAACCCTACATTTTAAACGTGCGAAGCAGTGAATCTTCAAAAATATGTTCTATTTGAAATTACTAGCTTGAAAAGACTTTCACCACCGAAACAATAATTTAATCCGATTGAAGAATCAATTTTGCTTATTATAAATACTCTTTTGTATTGGATTGTATATCTTATGACCTTATATTTTACAAAATTTGTATTTGAATTTTTCAATTTCTGAATTCGACTTCAGTATGTAAATGTATGTAAATTGTTAACAGAGATACATGTCTGTTAAATGATAACATTGATAATCATTAAAAAATAGCGCGCACAACAAAAGAAAAAAGAAATTCTATTGTTTTTCAGAAAGGGAAAGGAAACTGTAACATATTTATGTTAATGTTATAATAAGCTCGGAGTGGTTTGGGGGCAGCTCTTCTATCCTTACAACATAATTGGTGCTAGACTCCGGCTTATAAATTGTAATAACTCCTTTCTTTTGCCAAGGAACACCGGATAATGACGAAAAAATCATCACTATTGCCTAACTAACTGAACTAATAAACGAAAAAAAAGAACATACAAATTTGAAAGAGAAATCAAAAAAGTATAAAAACGAGGCACACATTTTTAAAGATTATTTTATTATACGATATACGAGAATAACTACCTTGTCGCCAGTACCGCTTTAAAAAGTTGGGATGTTACTCCCAGGCTGTCCAAGATGGACTGCCCCGATTCGATCCGGCGATCCTCCATTTATTGCCGGCGATCAGTTCTCTCTCAATACATTTATATAAATAATATAGGAGCGGAATTGAATGTAAATGAGTTTTAATTGAATTTAAAACATTTATTTTCTACTTTGAAGTCTTTTGCCAGTGCTGGCATTTTCTTTCAGCTTTAAATACTTGGCCCGGAACCTACGGAAAATAAGAACCTAAATAAAAAACTTTCTCTTGGTAGCATTTTGAATTATTTTATTTCGTTTCTTTCTTTTTAAGTTTTTTTTTGTATGTATTTTTCATTTCAACTAGTTTGAGTTCTTTTTTGACTTAAGATTAAATTGAATTATCGTTTTCGGTTTGTTTTTCTTTCGTTTTCGTTTTCGTTTTCGTTTCTGCTTGCATGCTTTTTTCTTTTATACGCACTTCGTTCTTAGTTATCGTTTTGCTTTGCGGTTTGCATTTCACATTTCACATTTTCCGTTTCAGTTTTTCATTTTTCTCTTTGTAATTATTCCAATATAATGTACTTGGCTTAATAGGATCTTGTTTTCTTGGTTTTGTTTTTTTTTTCCTTTTAACTGCTATTTAATTGAACGCTTAATTGAATCGTTTGACAATTTATCCGAAAAAAGTAATTTACTTTCTGTTTTCTTTTCAGTTGAATTTTGTTTTGTATATGGAAAAAGCTGCGCTTAGCTCTCAAGGAAATAATAGCATAGAATTCGAGTGTTTAAATTAAGAATCAATAAATAAAAACAACATTTAAAGCATTTTCTGTATTTACTCTAGATAAATATGCAATTGTGTATGTATATTTGTGTATATGTTTAATAATAAGAACAAAAATAAATTACAGTATTGGCTTAATGTTTTAAGAACCCAACCAGGAATCATAAGGCAGCATTTCGTGTTCAAAAGTTTTCGCTTCACATATTCCACTTATCGATTTTATATTTTATATTCATCTTGTTTTTTTTTTTTGGTAGATCGCTCAAATGTTTTACAAATTGTGTCTAAGCTTTTTTTTAAATGTTACGTTTAAAATTGTTTTGCATATATGTATGTATGTATTTATTTTTATAAGTAGGCTTAATCCGCTATGCTGACCAAAAAAAAACAAAAAAATATATATATAGATACGTTTATGTACGGCTCGTTCCGCCTCGCTCTAAACTTAGTTACTAATTTTCTTTAAGCGTTGACATACACATAAATATATGCGCTATATTCGATATACATATACATATATATTTCGTTTGCTTTTGTTTTTATACATAATTGATTTAATGTTAAATTTCATTTACTTTCTTAAGGGCTAGACAAAAAAAGATTTCTAAGTTTTCACATTTATGCTGGGGCAATGTATCCGCTGTGTATATCCGATACCCGGTCAAGTCTGGAGTATGTTCTTTTACTATATTTATATTTATTTTTATATTTTTATTTAATGTATGTATATTGTGGGTCAATGAATTGGGCAGAAAAGTGCAGCTTACAATCGATTGAAATGGAGATGGAAATAATTTGTTTGGATTAGCCCAAAGGCAGTACAATTTAATGCCACAAATCGATGAGGCCTATGTACAATATGTAAACACTCATTCTTCATCTTTTATTCAAATTGAAAATGTCCACTATGTGCATAAGATGTGTCCCTGTAGCCAGCCATCTGAATGTTGACTAGTTTTGGGCTTTAATTTCCGTTCAATCTGGACATGCTTCCCCTTCCCCCCCAACCCCCTCTAAAATCTAGTTTATAAATATTTTCCATACTGTTTTTTTTTTACACATTTTCTGCTATTTTCTTCTATTTACTCTAAGCAACTGCCTTTGACCCCACACAAAAAAGTATTCCCCACTTTGCTTTATAATTGAAGGACTTCGTACAGTTCGGATATGGATATATAACATTGGATGTTTGCACGATATGTGTACGTGTGTGTGTTGTCTGTGTTTCTGTGTTTTTTGTTTTTGTTTGGCTAAGCTTGACCGGGTTAAAGATCAAATTCAGCTCCGCTTACTCTCCAATTATTCTCATGCTTCATTTTTGCTATGCTTTTTTTACTCGTTCTCATTTCTCGTTTGTTGACTCGTTTCTCGTTACTTTTCTGTTCTTTTTTCATTTGTTTTTCTCTACCTTGTTTACTGTTTTTATTTACTTTATTTGTAAGTCTAAAAATTTAATCAATTTTGGCTTAGAAATTGTGTTCTGTTTTTGTTTTTGTTTTTGTTTTTCTTCCGTTCGCTCTTTTGTTGTTTCTGTTTTGCATGCTTTATCTTTATTTTGTGAGTTTTTTTCTTTTACTTGGAACTAACTACAGGCATTTGTTTAATGATTACATTTATAATTATATTTATATTTAATTGAATTGAAATTGTTCTGCGTTTATCTTTATTCTTTCGCTTTTAAAATTGTTTAGTTGTTTTCTTCCATGCTTCCAACTCGCTGTTTTAAAATGAACTTTTGAAGTTTCGTAGTTCGATACGTTTCGCTTTAATTGATAAGGATCTCCTCCTACCTCAGACTTCCCATCATCATTGATAATAAGTAGCTTAAAATTTGCACTAATTGATATAATTTGCCATTCATTTCGTTTGTTTTTGTTTTTGTTTTTGTTTGTTTTGTTTTGTTTATCCAACGAGAGCTTTCCTCTTTCCATAAAATAATTAACGCTATAAATCACAATACGGTTTTGTTTTTTTCTTTCTTACTTTCTTCTTGTATATGCACTATGTATATAGTATAGATATATGTAGGTATGTGTATATGGTATATAATATATATAATTGGAAAAAAAAAATCATTACACACTCGCTTAGGTTGCTAGACGTTTTCTTTTCCTTTGTTCTGCTATAGACATTTAAAATACAAATTTGCGGATATGCTAATGGCTCTCTAATGCGTTTTTATTTATAGTGGGGCTAAGTCGTGTCTGTGGAGGCTCTTCCTGCTGCTACTTAGACATGTGTGGCCAGTGGGCCCTTCTGTGTGTGTCCCTTGCCATTGTTGGACAATATAAACTGCCCGGATGGACTCTGTGCACACTGGCCAGCGACACCCGACTGTGCCAATGGTGTGGCAGCCAGCGTATTGCTGCTGGCTGTTAAATTCGAGCTGCTGCCGCTCACACTGCCGCCGGTAGCGCCAGCGCCAGCAGGCCCAGGGCCGCCAATGCCGCTGTTTAGGCTCGCCGCTGCCGAGCCAATGCCAGCGGACAGGACTCCAGCATTGGCCGGACTAGTGTGCAGGGTGGCGCCTGTCAGCGAGGCGCCATGGCCATGGCCGTAGTGCTTGATGCCGCCATTCGAGTGGTGATGGCGTGCTGCATGGTAGGGCGGTGGGGCTGGCGTAGCCGCTGGATTGGCGGTGCTTGGCGGTGGCAATGGTGGCAAAATCGAGGAGTTTGTGCGTAAATACGGATTGCCATAAATGGCACTGAAGCGACTATCGATGCCGTTCTGTAGTAGAGGTTGTCCTGCAAATGCGAGAGAGAGAGAGAGAGAGAGAGATGAAATCAAATGAGTTTCAACGGAGAAAGGACAGACAGACATACCCATAAATCCATTTGCCTGCTGGGATTGCTGCTGCTGCTGCTGCTGATCGTGTCGTTGATTGCGCGGTAGACTGGCACCACCTCCACCACCGACGGCAGCAGCGGCTCCCACACCGCCCACAGCGGCAGCCGAGTGTGGCAAAGTGGCAGAGTTCTTGCCACCAGAGTTCTTCACGGATTTGCCTGCTTCGCCGGGTGGGCTGTAGTCGAGGGCGTATTCAAAGTAGTGGGCGTATCCATTGGCGGATGTCTCCTTGTAGGCGTTCTCCTGATGGTTCTTCAGATTCTTAATGTGACACTGGCGATTGTAGCGGTCGGTAAAGTCACCCGAGAAGCGCTCATCGAACTTAACAGGCCCGGCCAGGGGCACACCCAGTGTGGCGCCCTTCATCTGCACATCCGGCATGGGCGATTGGTTGAGGGTAATGGCCAGCGCCTCGCTGCCCGCCTCAGAGTACTCCACATCGTAGGCCTTGGAGCGCAATTCGCTCTTCAGTTCGTTCAGTTTGTCGCCGCCACGTGATGCCTCCGGTATGACGTCCGCGGGCATGGGTTTCTTTCGGTTCCTGCGCTTCGTGTACACCACAACAATCATCACAATCATCAGTATGATGGCCACGGAGAACACCGAGCCCATGACGACCAGCAGGACGGGTATGTTGCCAGGCTCACGCACCACGGTGATCAGCAGCGAGTCGCTGCCATACGAGTTCATCACGGTACAGTTGTACTTGCCAAAGTGAGTTGCACGACTCTCGCGGATGATCAGCGCTGCGCGTACACCCTCCGGCAGGTGCTGCTCCTCGAAGATGTATATGTCCGGGTCGGCGCTGCTCATGTTGATCACTTTGTTCTCGAAGGACCACAGGATTTGCTCTGCCTTCGGTATGCTGAAGGCCAGACACTCAATCTTCACCTTGTTGCCCACGGCGCCAAACTGAACCTTGTGCGAGGTGATGATGGGTGCACGCTTCACGTGTATCAATGCCTCGGCGCCAATTTCGGGGAAACCAGTGACCTCTGCCCTACAAATATAACGTCCAGCCGTCTCGCTGCTCACTTTGATCTTCAACTCCGTGCCGCGGCCAACAACTTTTGCGGAATTTTCGTTAACCCATTCGATTTCAGGCGTTGGATTGCCGGCCACCTCGCAGCGCATGCTGACAGTGGCGCCCAGGTCCGCCTCTACGGTTTGTGGGCGCTTGCGAAAAACGGGTCCAACTGCAAGGAAACAATAAGTCAATCAGTCGCTACTCGCCACTCGCCACTCGCTACTCGTTGCTCTAACTTACAGCTTATGTCCAGGGTCTCGCTCTCCTCGCTCTTGCCAACGGCATTGACCACCTCGCACTTGACAATCGAATCGTGATACGAACGCGTGACATTGTGAATAATCTGCAATGGAAACAGGTCAGAGTAAGTGCTATCAATGGTGGAATTATAGGCAATAGACTCACCATTTTGGTGGTGAAATCCCCCGTCATGAGTTCGTCATTGATGAACCATCGGTAGCTGACTTCGGGCGGATTGGCATCGGCCTGACAGCTGAGCATTACCTCGGCGCCCTCCGGTATCTTGCCACCGGCCATTGCGCCTTCCACCACAGACACGGACACCTTGGGGGCATACTTGACTTCGAGCAGCAGCTTGGCGGACTTGTAGGTGCGATCGGCGGTATTCTGAGCCTGACACGTGAACGTCGTGTTGTGGTGCTCCTTCTTGGGCGCCAGCTTGAGGATGGATTTGGCGGTGATGCGGCGCGAATCGGACAGCGGTTCCTTCACGTACTCAATGCCCTTGGTGAGGACATTGCCAAGGCCATCGATCCAGGTAATCTCGGCGGCGGGCTTGCCGCCCACCGACACACACTCCAGCTCGATTTCACGATCCTCTGTCGTAACCATGTAGTCGCCTTGCAGTATCTTTGGGGCTTCGGGTGGCACCAGGACCGTGAGCTTGGCAAATCTCGAACGTATACCCTGTTCGCCCTGCGGTCCGGGTCCCACCTGGCACTGGTACTTGGCATCGTCGTCGAGCATCAGCGGATAAATGTCCAGCGAAAAGTCACCCTCCTCGTCACTGCCCACCATCGAGTAGCGCTCGAAGCCGCTCAGATTGCGATGCTGTCCCAGGCCGAAGTCATCCTTGGTCCACTGCAGTGCCCCAACTTTCTCCATCACGCGGCAGGGCAGCGTCACGCGTGAACCCACGACAGCTGTCTGATCCTGTGGCTCCATGGCAAACTGCTGACCGCCATTTTCGCCGCTTCTCGGCTTGTTGTCATCGTTGGCCGACGCTGAGGACACTGAGGCCGATGTTTCGCCATGGTGTGCATTGTTCTGATTGTTTTTGTTCTTATTCTTGGACTTGGCCAGCACGGAGACGGGCAGTAGGGCCACCTCGAGCAGCAGTACGGCCAGAGGTAGCACCCGCAGCAGCTGACTTTTGCGCATTTTCTTCATTTTAGCCACCGCAGAATGGCTAATACGGCTGCAAAGAGAGCAATTCAAAGGGGGGAAATGAATAATTGTAGATATTTCATCATTTTTTTTATTTTCATTTAATTTTATTATTAAGGTTTAAGGTCAAAAAATAGGTGTTTTAATATTTTATTTGCTAAATCTGAACATGGACGCCATCTAGCTTTGGTTTAATGTCAGCGTTTAGGCGCCATCTGGCCTGCTGGCGCCATTTGGCGTTGATTTAATGGAAGCCTGCTAGCGCCATCTAGCTGTAAGTACATTTCTTTGTATGCCTACATCTTCGTCAGATGGAGCTAGCAAAGGCTTCATCAGCCTGTCAGATAGATGGCTCTTTCCTTCCTCTCTATTGATCGGACTGCTTGTGGAAATTGCTTCTCTCTCACTCTGGTTGGGACAGGTTTTTGTGGTCGCAAATGAACAAATAAACTACGTTATATATGTATATTTTATATATTTTTATTAATTGAATTACAGCCCCCCAACAGAGCTCAGTCCTCTCTTTCTGCATGAAATTCGAATTAAATCAACAGCGAAAAACAAACTTTATAAAAAATAATTAAGTAAAGGTGCAGTCAGCCAGCCACCCAGCATTCAGCCTGCTCGCTGCACGCTTGCTTGCCGCCGCTGCTCACATGGCAAACGAATGCAATCAAATATGTTTTTGTGGGTCAAGTTTAAACCAAATGGATAAGAAGCGGTTCCTGGGTGGGTGGTACATGCGTGCCGTATGTAATACGACTTTTGGAATACCCAAAATAATAATACATACAACATAATAAATAATAATTCATTGAACTAATAATGATTATTTGAATTTATTTGATTAGCTGTAAAAGAAGCGAAGGAAGTCCCTACAGCTTCTCGCTTGTAGCAATAATTAAGCAAAAATTTTGTGTAAATTATTCCCTGTACTCTAGAGAGTCGATATACCCGCAGTGTTACGAGTGCTACCCTGAAAGCTTAAACTCAGTGCTGTGTAGGGCCAGAGGGCAGCAGAGACAGGAATGCGTGGGTTGTCAGTTGTCTGGATTTGGTGGCTTCAACTGCAGGACGCAAAAACAGCAACAGCGACAGCAACATAAGCAGCACTGACGGCATCAGGCAGCAGGCAGACAGTCAGAAACGGACGTCAGCAGCAGCAGGGGGGACGGATGAACGTCAGCTGCAGCTTGCTGCCATAACTGCAGGAGTGCAAAACTATAACTGCAACTGTAACTGTAAATGTAAGTCCTGTGGTCGTTTGCCGTGAAATTGAAACATATTCGCGCGCAGCTTTGCACGCGTATCTGCCTTCAGTTTATTTTTTTTTACCGCTGCTTTTCCGCCCACTTTGAATGCATGCCAACACACACACACACACACACACACCCGCACACACCGAAACACAAACACAAACATATGTTCCCTTTTTGTGGCTCTTCTTTTGGCTTTTGCTTTCTTTTTTTTTTTGTGTTTGGCCTCCTCTACATTTCATGCGCTTGTTCGTCCGGTTTTGGCCTTGGCATTTGCGGCTTTTGTTTGCTTTTTGTCTCTTATTTATTCTATTTCTTTTGGCGTTCACCATTTTGTTTGCTTGTTCTTTTTGCTTGTTTGTGTTCCAAGGACCTTAAAGCTGCCTGCCGTTAGAAATTCTATGTGGAGGGAGACACAGCTAAAGCTGCGTTTAAGCGAACATCGAAGATTATCATGAGCGAGAAATATTAATTTTTCTGTGCGAATTTAATGTGAACTAAGAAAATGTTTCGTTAAAGCTTTGAAGCATTTTCGCTGAAAGTTTGATGGATTTGTTTCCACTTGATTTTGGA